AAATTCTAGGTGGGAAGAGACTGCTGGAGACTTGTCCAGACTTCTCTTAAAAAACAAAAGCCCTGGTGAAATTGTTGAGGATGCTGTCAAGCCATGTCCAAAACAGTTCCATCAAGGGATATGAAAAATCAAAAGCTAAGTATAAGGAAGAGGTTAGGATTTTCTGTCAGATTGTGTTCCTGGAAAATCTTTTTGATTTCTGCATCCCTCAGAAGTGTTTTCAAGTATATCTTTCACATGGTCTGTAGAGAGCAAGTTAAAACATTTTAATTTCTTGGTTTTGCGTGTTATCTATTCAGAAAACAACAGAAACTGGTTGGCTTGAACTTTTATTGAAAACAATGGGTTTTGGCTTGAAGACAATTTGTTAAATACATAAATGAGTCACTTCTTCAGAAACTGCTGAAAGTTGCATTTAGAGCAGCAGTTACTGTAGCTGCTTCAAAAGGATGTGGTGGGACAGTCTGGAGTTGGAGGAACTCTGAAAGAAGTGAAGATCTGAATAAGAAAGGTTCAATTTAGGCTTTTTTACCAAATAAATTTTTTAATTCTAAAGAAATCCGCTTGCTTTTTTCCCATGTTTGCCACAGTTAACAGAAAATGAATCATTTTGCACGTGTCTTTTTAAAACTGGGGGTATTTTTCACTATTTTCATGTTTTACAGTTTTCTATCTGAAGTACATACAATTTCTAGTTTGTGTAATTTTGTTTGTTTGATATAGATAGTAAAAAAAATAGAATTCTTTTATCTGATCATGAGAAAAATAATCTTAGGGGTTTTCATGTTGGATTTATCTTAAAATGTTTGATTTTTTTTTCCACTGAGTATCTATCAGGGGAAATTTATGAGTAATTTTTAGGTCAGTTCATTTCTACAAATTGCAGAATTCTGCATTGACTTAACACTATTTTGATAAGAAATAACAATACTACCACATATTGGGAATATTAACAACTTTGTGATAGGAGGGAGTTGAAAAGGCATTTCCTGTAAAAATTTTACTCCAAAAGAAACAATCAGTTCAACTTGATTGTTTAAATCCTTAACAAACAACAGACACCAGTTGAACCAAAGTGGTATTTTGGTTCAGTATTTTATTTATTGATCAACACTTCCAAACACAGTTTTGCACTGAGTTTGAGCCACCAACCAGCTTTTCCACGAGTGAAAGGTGCAAACTCCCTGCAGGAGTTATATTCCTTGCAAAGACCATCCCTTCTAAGGTTTTTTTTTTTCCACTTTTCTTTAGAAATTTAAAGGTAGAAAAAGTACATTTATTGAGAGGGATAGCCTCAGATCACTGAAAGGACCCCTCTGTGTAACACTGCCTCTCTGGGAGGCAGCTTTCAGCATGACATCAGGCTGATGGGCAATGTGAATTTAATCTGGTGCTGGCATGACATTAACAGTCCTTTTGAAATGAATTTCACTAATATGTCAGTGTAGGGAAAAAAAAAAAATCCTCTACAGGTATTTCCAGTTTATTGATCAAGTAATTTTATCTGATTTCTTCTTGAGAATTTAGAAGACAGTGGACTGAGGAAGTATATAAACAGCTTGAATAAGAGTCATCTACTCTTGTCCCAACTGCATTAAAGATTCTGAGCTAGTCAGCATCTCTTGCTGTGTGCATTACCAGGGCACCCCCTAGCTTCCAGAGCTCCTCAGCAGGAAGGAGACAAATCTGTCTTCATCAATTTCAAAGCAGAACAATGCTCTTTTTTTTACTGCATACTGCATGATTTGCGGTTGGCTTTAAAAATAAAAACAGCTTGTAGAAGTTTTATTGCACAATTTGTGTTTTAATAGGTGCTTTAATAGGATTTTTAATATGAAAGGAAATTACCCAAATATTGTAGTAAATGTAACTGAGTAGCGCCATTCTTTTATTTTTGTTTTTTTCCCGAGCTAATAAAGATGGAGCTGGATCACCATGTTTTATGCAGAGGTCCCCTGGGGAAATGTCTTCATCAGGAGGGTGGATTTTGCAATTTCTCTTAGAAGAATCCTTGGGAGCACCCACGGGATGGATTGTGGGATGGATTCCAGTGCAGTTCTGCTGCTTGGGCTGTGGTGTGATCCTTGCTGCTCTCCTGTGCCCTGAAATGTGTGCAGTGTGAGTGCTGGGCTCCCAGCAGCATCTGTCCCACTGCATGGTTCCCCTCCTGGGTGTGCCACCCTGCTCCCTGGAGCAGAGTCATGGAATCACAGAATGGGTTCAGCTGGAAATGAGCAGCTTGGGTGTAACTTGAGAGCAGAGGTTTGGAACTGAGCAGGACCTGAGGAAGCCAGGGCCCTTTGCTGGGGAGATTGAAGCAGCAGCATCTCGCTGGTCTTACTGGTTCATGCCACAATCCACAAAGGCTGGAGGAACAAAACTCTACTGTAGCCTTCAGTGCCTGTCCACATCATCAGACTATTGCAAACCTCTGTTTCTTCAGACTATTGTCTCTTGGCATTATGATTTTAGAGGAGGTTTTCCTCCTCCTAGCTGCTCTTACGCTGCAGATCACACAACTTGTTTTGTACGTGCTTTTACATCAATCACAGAGGTGCAAACCCATTGTCTGGTTTGCAGCTTTTCCCCTCAAAGTTTGATTTAATCCATGCATTCCCTGAAGAGGCCATGTGGGGTTTTCCTTGGCTAGTTTTAGTTCACCAGTTTGAAGCAAGGATAAGCAGCACTAGAGAAGAGGTTTCCAGATGCAGCCATAACATCTTGGGAGGAAATCATCTGGCCTCATGCTTACACTCCAGTATTGGCAGCAGCCTTAAAAACCCCTCATGAATCCATGGCATTATTTGCTAATTGTTTGTGTCATATATAATCCAGATTAATTTCTACTAAAAATGTCATTTTGCAGATCACTTGAGCAAGCTAAACAGGCCTGCAGGTATGAAACATGAGATGATATATTTCTTTTAGTGCAGTATCTTTGCATCCTCCACGTAATACCGGTCATGGTACCAAAGTTTGTACTGGATTTGTTAGAAATTGCTGCAAGGGGGAAGCCAGGGGATCACTTAATCCATCTTTGGGTGATGGGAATTAAATGTTCCCTGGTGCTTCTGATAGAAATGGGCTTTGAAAAAACTGAACTCCGTGAGTCTCTGCAAGTGACTGAAGTGTGTTGTTTTAATTTCCTCCCATGTTGGTGCATTCCTGATGTTTTAAGTGTCTTTTGTCCAAATTGAGCTAATGCATTCTCCAAGTGGAAATGGAAGGCTATTGGCTGCTGTCCTCTTAGCGCCCTTTATTTTGTCTTGCAAGGCCACATGATATTCTATTTTTCCTCCCTTGCAGAAAACTGCTTTCCTTCAGCTGTTCTTAAAGTGGTGTTTTCCAGCTTTTTATCTCTCTTTCACCTTCTCTGAACTCACCAAGAAAGCTATTAAAAACCTTATGCCAAAAACTGGGCTCAGCTATTTGTGCCTTTTAGCAGGCACTCTTTCCCTGCAGTTGGTCACTAAGTTTATGATCATTGATAACAATTTAGCCCTCTTGGTCAGGATTGCTATTTTCCATTTAATATCTCTGTGAACTGTGGGGCTTTTATTTTCTAAGCATGCCTTCAACTATCTTATCTCTTTTGGTTTTGAGCCCTTTCCTTCAATTTCTCAAAATCAGTTTGAAGTCAGAGCTTGTCCTTGAAAGTTCTTGCAGCCACTCCCAGTATTTTGACCCTTCTAATTGTTATAGTTGTTTGATTTTATTATGTTAGCCAATAAAGAAATTGCTGCAGGTAGTTGGGCCTGAGGCTGAACCATTTTCAAGACCAAATGTGAGTCTTGCAAGTTAACAGCAAGCTACTGATGGCACTTTAAAGTACAATTTTCCAAGAGCTGTGCCCTGTCTCATGAGCTTGCTTAGGAAGCTGTCACCTGAGGCAGTGCCAGAAAACCCTCCTGAATTCAGGACACATCACAGGTCTGCCAGGTCAGATACCCTGCCAAGGAAACTAAAACAGCTACATGTGGCCTGTTTTCAGCAATTTTATTGCTGCTTTATTACCTTGCTATTTGCCAGGTGCTTATAAACTGTTTAGCAAATTGTCTTTTTTAGGGATTTCTGGGCTTTACAGCTGTGCTGATGGTGCTGGGGCTGAGAGAGCTCAGGGGAGGCCTGTGACTGACTGGGGGTGTGCTGCAGGTCTGACCCCGTTTATTTGAATTAGATGTGAATTTAAGTGTACTTTGTGCTCCTCTGTCCTGCTCTGCACAGCTGTGTAAAAACCTCCTCTGCAGCAGCCTGTTCCTGCTCTTAAACATAACTTTGTTTCCACAAGGACTTTGCATTGTAGTATTTTGAATTTGAGTCCTCTCTTAAAAAGGAGACTTGTTCTAGCTTTGCTGCTGAGAACGTTCTGGAATCTGCCTTTGGTAATGTTGGCAGCATGGATAGTTTTCCTTCTTAAATTTTTGAATGCTCAGCTTCTGCTTAAAGGGAAATCCCTAACAGAAACTTTTTGTTACTCATCTTGAGAATAAGACTCAGTTTCTTCCCAGTGTGAAGGACATACAACATCTTAAACATTGCTAGAAATAAATTTTGCAAGTTATTCAGCAATGAAAAATATTCTTAAAATGATATTTCTCAGTGTGAAGCAAGATCATCTTATTTGGAATATATTGTCAGAAACTTTCAAACCTTTTCTGCTATGCCTAGAGCATATTAGAAATGGGAATTGTTGAAATGTGAATTAAATTCCAGATAAGAAAATTTCCTGTTTTCTTATCTGCAAAGGAAATTCCATTTTGGCTCTTAACATATCTGTTACATCCCAGTTAAACAGCAACTACTGTTTATGTTCCTTTTCTTTATTTTTTTGTAAATACAACATCCATCTGGTATTAGTTTACCATCTTTTTTTTTTCTTCTTGAGCTCACCTGAAATTGTAATTGAGAGTTTTTACATGTGAGCCAGAAAGCCCTCTAGATAGTAGCTAACCAAATCAGTTTTTCCAATTCATAAAATATTTTTTTTTTTTTTTTATTAGGGCTGTGTATATGGAAACAAAGTGGAAATCTGGATGTTTGATGAAGAGACATGCCAGTGTCCTTTCTGAAGTGATGCCTTAGTAGGCTGAAGGACAGGACAACCATGGACTACATGAGTTATTCTCCATCTCAGTGCTGCCACTGGTTTTATCTTGAATCTTATCTTTATCTAAATTTTATCTTTATCTGGAATACCAGAGTCCAAGTTTTAACATTCCAACTTTAATGTGCATCTCTCTTTATATGGTGGAAGGCAATTCAGAGGCTGCTTTTTCTTGCTCCCCTTTGTCCATATGTCACTGCATGCAAGCAATATCATATTGTCATCCTGAGAGGAGCAGATGGGCTGGTTCCTTCTGGACAACAATAATTCACTGTGGTTTTCCCTTTCCCCTATGAAATTTGTACTAAAAAAATGTTGTCCTGGAGTAATAAACCTGGAGCCAGATGGACCTACCATTTGAACTTCACAGCCTTACACCAAAATAAATTCTGGCAAATATTACAGGAGCGTGTTATTTTTAGAAATAAAAAATTGGGGATTTCAAACTAGCAAAAATGGTGGTATCAAACTGTATTTCCCAATTATGGATTTATTGCAGTTTCCATTACAAATACATTTTTAATGAAAAAAAATTGAAAAATCAATACCATCTCCAGCAGAAACAGATGCAGGCTCTTTCTTTAAAGCCCTGCTGCCATGGCAGGGACTTGTGCACCCGAGAAAATCAGGGCAAGGAGGAGAAGGGTCACTGCTTAGTGCAGGGTTGACTTTCTCTCCTTGGAAAGAAAGGTGAGTCCCCATCTGAGGGGGCTGGATCCTGGCCAAAGGCAGGGCTGTGAACACCATTTTAGGGGCTCTAAACCACACTGAAACACCAGTGCTGAAGGCATCTCTTGTTTTCTGTTACCTTTTTTAATTACCTGGCTGACTCTTAGCTTCTGAGACAATGATTTATCCTTCCAACATGGCACACAAGAAGAGAACTTTTCTATTTTTCCCAAATTAAACTTTTCTTTAAGGTTTCCTCTTATGGTACAGATACTTTTGAGTAATCCTGAACCCTGACTGATTTTCTGGCATCAATGAACCCCAGGAAAACAACCTGGTCTATCAGACTTGTGGATTCCTTTGATCAGTGACAGCTTTGAAATTCCTGGTGTCTTTCTGCTGCTGTTGCTGTGTCAGTATCACATCTGGAGTTGACAGACATTTGTCACACATCAGATGCTTTGGAGAATGGTCAGTGCAGCTTTTACCTGTGGCACAGAGTTCTGCTCAGCCTCTTGGCCTTATGGAAAATGTTCCCGTGTGCTCATGTGTGTGTGCAAAAATAACTGTGTATCTGTTTAATTTCCAGTGTAGCTTTCTTGGAAATCTTCCAGTGGAAATCTTTCATTTGGAAAATCAGTTTTTTGAAAAAGGCTAGGTTAAAAAAAAAAAAAAAAAGATAAAACATGTATGAGAGGGAGATAAATTTTATGTTAAACCAGTCATCTGGGATGCAGGAGACTCGAGGTCAAGTTCCTGTTATGCAGGTTTTCCCCCTGCCCTCCTGTGAGAGTCCTGTAAGTATTATTTGCCTGTATTATTGTTTAGAAGTATGTTTGCCACATCTTTAGTTATTTCTTTTTCGGGTTTCTTCCCAGTTCTAAATGGGAGAATAGAATCTGGATTGCCTGCCCGGTTTTTGGTTGGATGTTTGTGGTTTACAGTCCTAGATAAAAGTAAATTTCCCTAAAATGTCAGGGAATGCTTCTTATTCTTATAATCTTCATGTCTCTGTTGCATCTTACAAAGGATTATTGATTGGAAAATTTTTTTTCTTACATTTTTGTTTTCCTCTGAAATCAGAATATTGTCAAATGCATCACTATGTTTGTGCAGGTGCACATGTGTACGAATTTTCTTCTCCTGCTCGTAGATCAGCTTTCTCTAGCAATGTTTTGGGGAATATGGAGCCTGTGCTCATCACTTGCTTTCTAATGCAGCCTGAGTTGGAGCTCAGTAGGAACACAAACATTTGCCTTTACCAAACTGGGGCCAAAGAATGCTGGAAAATGTGTCCAGCCAGAAAAACTCCCATCCTGTAGCCCAAAAAACCCCCAAGTTTTCTCTATTCTTTCATAGTTTGGGCTTAATGATGCCTCTTTTTGTTGTTTTTTTTTTTCCCCAGGTATTTGAATAGCTGGTTTATTGCATAGAACATTTTATCACCATCAGAAACAGTTGATGTGGAGTTGAAACCCATCATTTTGATATGAAGCTTTGTATTTCTCTTGTGAATGATTAACTTGATTAAACACATTCAATCTCACTTTATTTCCCATTTATCACAATTATGCAGAACATATTTTTAATTAGAAAGGAATCCTTTCTTACTTAGATTGAGACAACCCTATGAAATCATGTACAGAGGTGGGAGCTCTGGTTTTTCATTCTGTTAGAATGCTGTTGCAGTAAGTTTCAAATACTTCTCCCCAGCTGGCAATTCCCTTTCACTGATAAGGTTGTAAATGTCTCAGTTCTGTTTGTTTTCAGAATGAAAAACCACTGTGTGTTAGCCCTTTACAGCCATTTTTGACATGCATTTGAAAGACGTCCAAAATGTAAGAGTTTGATTTGGAATTAAATAATTCTTGAAAGAAGTGAGACATTCACAGGATCAGCCAATTGTGTTGCATTCCAATTGTGTATTCTCTTTTTGCTTCCAGATCATTTTTGGCCAAAATATTTTCTTTTGAGCAGATCCAAGAGCTTAGAGCTTTGCTAGGAATTAAGTCTCCTTTGAACTTATCTCACTTTTCCAACCAGTAGCCTTTTTTTCATGAAGGATAATTCACCTATTGGTTGACAATATCTTACACTTTCTTACCCTGACAAACCAAACAGTCCTGTGAGGAAGGAAATTTGCCTTAATCCCAAGAAGTCACTGTGATTCTTTGTGTTTTGGAGTTTGCTGAGAGAAAAATGCTTTCCCAATGTCAGATGATGTTCTCAGTGCTCAGGCTTCAGAGATCATATTGAATTTGCAGTGCACTGCTTGTGGTGTTTTACTCTTTTCTCTATTGCTGTCCTGGCCAGGTGAAACATCTTGCACCTTAGCCCTGCTCACATGCTGAGGTCACTGGGAATTATCTGACTGCTCATGTTGGTAGTGAAGAGTCCTGTGAGCTGTGCTGGTTTGGGGTGTTGCCTTGAAGATCTTCCATTTTTAGCTGGACTCCAGTTGAACAGCTGACCTGCAGCAGCACAAAAGTGAACTTTGTGGAGAGGGGCAGCTGAGGGGAGTTTTCTTTGCCTTGTGATCAATGAAAATTTCAAAATAGCACATTCTAGCGAGAACCAGCAGAAAAGACGTGAACACCTCTTTTCACATTAAGCAAAGAAATGTAGGAAACAAAATTCATGCAGTAGGCAGGGTGGGAAAACACCATGTAGAGATAAAGCAGTGAGGTTGACTTCAGTCTGAGCACAGGACTAAACTGCTTTTGGACCACTGGGACCGTCTAGGAATCTGATATTGCAATTGAACCGTGTTAAAAATGCTGAGTAGCTTTGGGAATGCATAAAGTAACCACATGAGCTCTAAACCCTGTTCACACACTCCTGACTAACCCACCCAAAGGACTGTGCAGTGCACAAAGCTGCAGCTTCTGAGTCCTTGTTAGTGTAATGTGTGTTGGCTTTTAACGAGGGGAAGATGGGTCAGCAAGCAGAAAGCATCTGGAAAGATTTATTTTTTATTTTTCTTCTCTCAAAAAATGAGTCTATTATATCAAGGACAAACACTTGTAAAGAAATCTCTCCAAGTACCAAATCCTGCTTGATGGTTTGTTACAACTGATCTCTGAAGACAGAAAGCAAATACAAAAATACTGCTGGGTCTAGTAGTTGTGTTGTACTTTCAGAAGGGTGTGTTGGGAAAAGGGTGGCTCATAGGCTACAGATTCTGCAGTCAAGGGAAGGACCAAAAGGAAAACACAGCTGCTAACCACTATGGCATTCCCCTGAAGGCTGCTTTGGCCAGTTAAATCTAATTAATAGGGCCTGTTTGGGTAGTTGTGTGGATCAGAGCACTCATATCCATTAGAGTTGTGAATAAAACCTTTGGTGTGACTGGCAACCTTTCTTCCTACCAAGTGGGAAGAGCAGCATGTTCCCCAGCACGGAGACCCTGTTCCTACAGGCTTTGTGGGGCTGTCTAAAGGATAAATAAATGGCAATAAATGAGTTAGCACAGAGAGGGGAAGCAGCACAGTCACATTAAAGCAGCATTCTGCCCAGTTTAACATCACCTTTCTCAGCAGAGCTGAGAAATAGCATTGTGGGATGCTAGATGAAAAAAACTGTCCAGCACAGTTCAAAACTCTCCATGCTGAACCTTTGTAGACCTTTACAGCAGCCTGGTCAAATATTTCCTGTATCTTGGAGGAGTTCTGCCATCAGCAAGCCCTGTCTGGGGTTGAGCTGTAATGAGTCAGTCCCTAAATCAGGATCATCACTGGGAGATGAAAATAGGACCAAAAAAAAAAACCCCAAACTATTTCAAAATGGACAAATCTGGTTTGGGCTTTTACTTAATCCAATTATGCCTTTGTCAAATGTCTCATGATGATTGAGATGTGGATAACTTTTTAACTTGAGAGATGTTCCTTTATTGTAGGATAATTTTAAAGCTGTACATATATCACATGTCTGTTCTCAGCTGTCATTGCTGAGCAATCCAAATGCTTTATTACAGCCATATTATATAATTAGGTGAATAATTACATTACTCTGAGTGCCATCATGGTCTGAGAAATGAAACAAACAACTGTAAAATCACCTGTAACTACATAGTTCCAGCATGATTGAATCTAATGCATTCTGTAAATGTAGAGTGCTGGCCTTTGTGAAATGGCTGAGTTATTAATTCAAAACTGCCTGCATTATCTAAAAGGAACGTGTTTGGAGCTCTCCTAGCAACTCTACAACAGAAAGTTTAGGTGTTATATTAATTGTGTTTGCTTTAAAACTGACCCAATGACAATTTTTAACTAAGGGATATTCAGTAGCTGAAATTCACCTTAACTGCTAAGATAATTGCTATATGCTAACTATAGCATTAAAACACTGAGTGTATTTCATAAATGAATAGTTATCTTGCAGTTTCTTATTGATATGTTTCTGCTTAATGGTGGTGTGGTGTGAGTACTGTAATTATCATTAGCTATTCACTTCCCATTATTTCCTTGGGATTTTTTTTTCATTTACTAATGTTCTATAATATAATGCTTGTTGAATTAATGTTTTCCAGTTTTGTTTCCCCTACTGATTACATACGTACAGTGTGCTACCCAAAGACTTGCAGTTAATGGAACATATAATAAAATGTAGTTTTTCCTTTTGAGGGATCTGAAATGATGTTTCCCTGAAACAAGTACCCGCTGCTCTAAGATTAATTAATGCAAAGAAATGTGCTCAACTTAAAGATAAAATGCAGGTCTTTTTAAATGAGACTG